ACCATCTCTTTTTACTTTTAGTTTCATATGTTGTGGAATAAAGGGTCAACACGTTTTTTATTTTCCTAGTAGTAAAATTGGATAGGATGGCCGAAAGTACCATAAGTAATAATATTACACCGCTAAAACATTTAATTTGAACATCAAATATCAATTGTGATCTAAACAACAGAAAAAGAAAATAAAGATCATAAGTCGGGTTTTATAAGTTGTAGAGGTCAATATCATATAATATGCCTCTACAGTAGGACTCTATATTTATTCTCGATTAATCAATTCTTCAAAAATCTATAAAGTGAATAATTTGATCAATAAAAGAGTCGTGAGTCAAAGTTGAATTCTTCTAATGTAGGAATTGGCGAAATGGGAGCACAAGAGCAAAGTTGATGGAAAAATGCATGCTTGTGCTCATGATGCCCATACTGCCATGCTTCTTGGTGCTGCCAAGATATTACAACAACTCCGACACAATTTACAGGTTAAATAAAACCCTTAATTAAGCTCTAAATACATACTTCTAAGCTAATGGATTAGTTGAAGTAATGAATTTAATTACCGTGTATAATAATATTGCAGGGAACAGTGGTGTTAATTTTTCAACCAGCTGAAGAACGAGGGCATGGGGCTAAAGATATGATAGAAGAAGGAGTTCTTGAAAATGTGGAAGCCATTTTTGGAATGCACTTAGTTCATAAGTATGAAAGTGGAGTAGTTGCATCTAGGCCTGGTGAATTCTTGGCTGGATGTGGAAGCTTTAAAGCTACAATTAGAGGAAAAGGAGGTCATGCTGCTGTTCCACACGATTCTGTTGATCCAATTTTGGCTGCTTCTACTTCTGTTATTAGTTTGCAAAGTATTGTCTCTAGAGAGACTGATCCTCTTGAATCCCAGGTACTACCTCCGTTTCAAAAGCATTGACACTATTTATTTATTGGTCTGTTTCAAAAAAATTGACAAATTTTAATATTTTTTTTATTAGAAGCATTTATAGTTACACAAATGTTATAGTAAGTTTAAGATCACAAGTTTCAAAAGTTTTACAGTCACACAAATGATATGGTTTATTTAGGACCACATATCTCAAAGTCTTTTCTTCCTTATTAAAATTTGTGTCAAGTCAAACTAGAACAATCTTTTTGAAACATAGAGATTAACAATTTTCTTTTCCAAACTTATTCAAACAAATTTTAAATTTTTATTTTATCAATTCTTATATATTTAGTTTTTGAAATTTCAGGTAGTTTCTGTTGCCATGATTGAAGGGGGGCATGCATTTAATATCATACCAGAATTAGCTACAATTTCCGGGACCTATAGAGCATTCAGTAAGAAGAGTTTCTACGGTTTGAGGAAAAGAATTGAAGAGGTAAACTACTTGTAATTTAGAACAAAAATCTTGGATACTTTGACCAATATTCAAAGTCCCACACGTCTCTTTACAAAGTTTATATGTGCAAATTTTATTTATTCAAACAAGTTACGTTTCTTTTTCATTAATACTTTGTTTGAAAAGACGAGTACTTGAGGAAATTGTAGGATTTGTTTCGGGAAAGAGGTTTTAATATTTTCAAGTTGCTTGATATATTCATTCAACACAAAATAATCTTATTTATAGCCAAAGAACTGTTTTTTGAGAAGGGTCACGAGCCAAGAGGTCAAATGACTTTTCAGTTCTTTAGAGATGCAATATAACTTTTCAATAAAATAAGTGGTACATTTAACAATATCAGAACGCCATAACCTTTCAGTAATTCACTAATCAACTAGGGAGAATGAAATAACTTGCTAATAATTAGGAATAGACATCCATGTTATTTTTAGAACATATTATTATATTCAATATTTGGTAATTAAACTTTTTATTGGTAAAATTTTCAGGTGATACGAGCACAAGCAGCAGTACATCGATGTACGGTCGAGATTGACTTTGATGGTCGAGAAAATCCAACACTTCCTCCAACAATAAACGATGAGAGAATATACGAACATGCCCGAAAAGTTTCAAAAATGATTGTTGGGGAAGAGAGTTTCAAAATAGCACCTAGCTTCATGGGAAGTGAAGATTTTGCAGTGTTTTTAGAGAAAGTTCCTGGTTCCTTCTTCCTTTTGGGAACAAAAAATGAAAAGATTGGTGCTATTTACCCTCCACACAATCCACATTTCATCATTGATGAGGATGTCCTTCCAATTGGTGCTGCAATTCATGCTACTTTTGCATATTCTTACCTCTTAAATTCAACAAATAAGTTTACTTCTCATTCTTCTTAATCTTATTTTATTCTTTTGTATAGAGTTAGTATTTTTTATTATCAATATATGCCAGAATATTACTTGTTATTCAGTTTTATTTGATTTTTATACTTTATGGTTTATTGTTAAAAGTTGTAGTCACTAGAAATACTTCTTCCATTAACTTCTTTGGAATTATGCCTTGTGTTATTTTTACTATGTCAACTTTTATCCAATGGACTTGCCCCAAGAAAAAAGGGAAACTTTGCTCCTGAAGGGACTATATTCTAGTTCAAGTAATGTATAGACCAATAAGGGATTGACGGATTATATATTCACAATTTCACTGTGACAGGCCTGTTTGCAATATTTATTTATCCATGTCAATTTAGTGAAGTAGAAAAAAAGTGCATCGCTTCTGTTTTTTACAACAAAAATTCGCGCTCCGATCCACGCTTGCCAATACTATATATTTAGTGATCAAAGTTTGCTAAATATAACCTTTGTTTGGAAAATGAGTGCTATAAGTTGTCCATTTTCATCTTACTATAAAAGTTGCATTGTCGATCTATATATACATGTAACAATCCGACCGATCGTTTTGAGCATTTGCATTCAGTTCGGCAGTTTGAGGTCATGAGTAGCTTCGTATAATATATTTCGACTTGTGTGTATCATCAATTTTGATTTTCGAGTTGTTCAGAATTGATTTGAAAGAATGATTCTTATATAGGAAGTTTTAAGTTGGAAGAGTTTACCAAGTTTGACTTTTGTGTATTTGACCTTGGATCGGAGCTTTTATGGTTCCGTTAGGTCCGGATGGTGATTTTGGACTTGGACGGATGCCCGGATTTGCATTTGGATATTCCTAAAAAGTTTCGGCACTATTTTGGCAAAAATTGACAATTTGAAGGTTTGGAATATTCATAAGTTTGACGGGGAGTTGACTTTTATGATATTGGGTTCAGATTATTATTCCGGGAGTTGGAATAGGTTTGTTATGTCATTTGAAACTTGTGTGCAAAATTTGAGGTTATTCTGAGTTGATTTGATATGGTTCGGCACGAGTTTTAGAAGTTGAAAGTTCAAAAGTTCATTAAATTTGATTTGAGGTGTGATTCGTGGTTTGATGTTGTTATAAGTGATTTGAGGCCTCGCGAGTAGGTTCGTGTTATATTTTGGGACTTGTTGGTATGTTCGGACGGGGTCTCGAGGGGCTCGAGTGAGTTTCGAGATGGTTTCAGATCATTTCGGAGGAGGATTTCAGTGCTAGTTTCTGATGTCCCTGTTGTTCTTCGCGATCGCCAAGATGTAGCCGCGATCACGTAGGCTAAGTTTGGAGCTAGGCATTTTTTTCTTCACATTCGTGACTACATGATCGCGTTCGCGTTGCTTTGTGAGGCCCGGGGCACAGCATTCGCAGTGTTGTGTCATGTTCGAGTATCAGCGAGGGAGCTAAAGGCTTTGTTTATCGCGTTCGCACAGGAGGCGACGCGTTCGCGAAGGTCTAGCAGCGGTGTTCATCGCGTTCACGAAGGATATGACGAAAACGCAAAGTGTTATTTTTGTGGCAGAGTAATTTGTGCATCGCGAACGCGAGGTCTCTTGTGCGTTCGCGAAAGATATCCCTGTTCAGTGATTATAAAGTACTCTATTTCGAATGTTTTGGTCATTTTATCACATTTTGAGTTATGGAGCTCGCATTTGGGCGATTTTGAAGAGGATTTTTACCACATGAATTGGGGTAAGTATTTTTCACTCGATTTTGATTATTTTACATGATTCCATCTTCGATTTTAGCCTTTAATTTGATGAATCTAAAAGAGAAAATGAGGGTTTTTGTCGAAACTTTCCTAAAGTGAATAATTTGGTTTTGAACATCGATTCAAAGTCAAATTTGAGTAAATTTAGTGTGGTTAGACTCGTATTCGAATGATTTGTTGGAATTTGTGAGTTTTGTCAGATTCCGGGGTGCAGGCCCGGGTTAACTTTTTGGTTGACTTTGAGTATTTTGATTAAAGATTCAATCTTTATCGTTTGGGTTTGCTTCCTATGGCATTATTTGATGATTTTGAGTTACTTTTGGCTAGTTTCGAGCCTTTCAGAGGCCGATTTGTGTGGGATGGCGCTTCTAGTGTATTGATTTGGCTTGTTTAAGGTAAGTGTCTTTCCTACCTTTGTTTGAGAAAATTATTTCTATTAAATGATATTGTTTGCTACATACGGGCTGATGCATATACGTGGTGACGAGCGTATATCCATGTGCCGGGGGGGTTTTAATGCTCGGGAAGGGGTAATTATATGCTCTTTGTGTTTTTATGAACCTGGTGATTCTTTGACTTATGCTTTATTTAATTCAATAACTAATAAACTCACTTAACTGTGTTAGAAATCATGTGAGAATATATGACATCTCAAAAAGGATTTAATGTGTTATTTTCGGACTGTTTACTTACTTAATTAACCGTAGTATCATGAACACCCATTTATGCCTGTTATTATGTTGGAATTTTCTGTGTTTCAGCTAGGGTATTTTATTTCAGATTTTATCTCCGCATAAAATAGTAGCTATTTTTAACGACTTTGTAAATGCCGACTATTTTTTTATTACTAGTCCAAAAACTGGCTAGTCCATGCTATTTTCACTATGATTTTCGAACTATTGGAGGCCCAATTCAAATATACTCATCACAAGCCCAAATCTCTTTTCGCCAATTTGATTGTCAACGTACAAAAGGACTTCAAATATGTACCCAAGTTGCATTTAATTAGGCCTACCAACCAAACCATTTTTGCCAAGTTTATTTAAAACTTCGAGTTTTCTTCTTCTTTGAACAAATCTCGTATCATTCTCCGGCGAAATCGAGTTTCAGGTCTGTTCTCTTTTTTGTTTTTTTTATCATAACAGCTAAATTTATGCAAAAAAATGAAAAAATACAATCTTTATGTGAAAATTTGCTGTATTTGATTTTTTATTAAAATTCCCTGAAATATTTTCCAATTTTCGATTTTTTTTTTCTGGGAAATAAATGTTTTCAGGAAAAAAAAATTGAAAAAATGGCAGAGCTGAAGAAGCAGCAAGTGGGATCTAAAAAAGTGAATCAGCTTCGACCATTGGATAGTGGGGTTAATATAACTGTAAAGGTTATTAGTAAAAAGCCAATTGCACAGAGAAATCGTCTTGCTGAATGTTTGGTGGGTGATGAAACTGGAATTATTATCTTTACTGCCCGCAATGATCAAGGTAATTTTTGTTTTCACCAAGAGTTTAATATCATTGGTTGATTTCCTGGGGATTGATCTGTATGCATGTTTTGTTTATGGTTTGCAATGATTTTTCTGTTTTTACATTATAATTGTTGTATTAGATGTTCCCTCGAAGCCGAATACCGTTGGGATTGAGAAAAATTGAATCTTTACTGTTAGAATTGGCTTGTATCATCAATTGAGAACAGATTTTGTTAAGATCTTGTCATTGATGGATGAAGCGGTAAACTGATTTGAATGATTTTGCTGTTTTTCATTGTTGTCATATGTTTGGCTTCTGCTGTGTGTATTGCATGTTGCGTCGAATCTGAATAATGAGTGTATTGAGAGTTATTGAGTCTTTATTGTTAAAATTGGTATATTTTTGTAATGCTGGGTGGAAAATTTTCAATGTCTTATTAATAATAGTGGTGGTTGAAAGGATTCGATGGGTGTAGTAAAGGATCAAATTTTATTTGAAATTTGGAAAAATTGTTGGCGGGTGAGATCCCCTCGCTGATGTACATGAATAATATCCATAGGAAAGCTTTTGAAAATTGGGAAATTGTTAGCTTTTAGCTATCAGGAATTTTGTGGCGTTCTCAATGTATGCTGACTGGACGGGAATCAGTGCTGGTGAACCTTTTAGCGAATCGAGATTGGGAAAATTACTAGAATCTGAATGCATATAGTTACGTTGGCTGTGCAAGTTTGGTACTTATGGAGTTTTGACTATTTGGGAAAAGAAATAGTGGTCCTAATACAATATTCTTGTTACCCATTTTCTGATTTAGAAACTATATGTAGCATTGGATAAAGAATCCTTACTCTACTGCTGAGTGAAACCAATAAGTGGGTTTAATCAATATTACTATTAGCCACGGATGATTACATGTGCTTGTTTAATCTTCATTCTTGTCCATTGATGCGCTTTACCTTATTCTTTCTTAGCTCTAGGATGTGTACCTAATTTACAATACCTAAGCACTTTCATGCCTAGAATAGGGGAGGGATGGAAGGAGAAAATGGTGCTCTATCAGCTTAGAGATCTTGTCTAAACTCAAAGAGAGAGTGATAGGACGAGAGAGAATGGGTGGGATGGCACTGTCTAGTGTCTAGAGCTTATGTTTTCTTCCAACTTCCCTGAAAATGTAATCTTTTACCCTTTTTTTAAAGTTAAATTATATGTTTAATTGGTCCATTTTCTCTATTCCTACTCCTCAACATCTGGAAGATTCAAGATTATCCCACATGTGCTTCTTCCTGTCATAGTAATGCATATATGCAACTCCAAACCAGCATATTTTTCAAACTCAAGTATTTTATTATGTCTGAAAGAGTAACTAGGTAGGCAATCTGAAATTGATATAGTATTTGTAGTTCACTCAGAAAGAGTTTTCTGATCATTTGCTAAGTACAGTGTCTTCTTGTCGTATACTAACAAGTATGGCAGCATCATTGTTTCAATATATGTTTCTAGACTACCCCAAAAGGAGTAGAATCTTTCTTCTGCACATCCATTACCTTTTCCTCTTAATTGATTTCAACAGTACCTCTGGTTGCTAATCATGTTTATGAGTTATGACCTTCAATAAATGCTATCTAAAATTACCAGATTCATCACGGATCTTACAGCGCACCCTTATCGTAACAAAGCTGATATTAGGGTGCTTGTCTGCTTGAAACATCAAGGTCACACACACACACACACACACACACACACACACACACACACACACACCCACATATATATATATATATATATATATATATATATATATATATATATGAGATTGACTTTAAGTTCATTAATTATAAAAAGACGAGCCTGGCTTTACCAATGTATAGTAAAAAATGAAATGGAAAGATAATGACTATTGTAAGTAGAAAGGACGAAGAAACTTGGTCTACTGAATTTACCCGGCAGGAAATGACTTGAACTGATAAGTCTCTAAAATTTAGCCAGAAAAAATGGAAGACGCTGACAGGGCAAGTCATTAAATTTCCGGCTTTGAATATTGCACTATCTACTTGTCTTTTATGCTTGCAGTTTGATAGATGCTAATTAACAAGGATATCAAGTATTATCTTGTTCTTGTCCACTGCCAAGTTATGTGATTCATTTAGAAAAAGATTTTTTTTAAGCAGATGATCTTTCTCACATGGAATTCAAGTTTTTTGCTTTAGTTATTCAGTTAAGATTCCTTAACTTTTGATTGTCTTTTGCGTAGTCGATTTAATTCAAGAAGGTTCCACACTAGTCTTGACAAAAGCTAAAGTTGACATGTTCAAAGGA